TGAGCCCAGGAGTTGGAGGTTGCTGTGAGCTGTAATGCCATAGCACTCTACCCAGGGGGACAGCTTGAGGCTCTGTCTCAAAAAAAAAAAAAGAAAAATGGGGACAAAAATAGATAAGATTGAGAGCCCACTGCCTGGTGTTTGACTTTGAAGGGGAGGGGGTTTCTGCATCCTTATCTGCCTTAGTTCCTGCCTGGGATGTGGTCAGAATGTGGGTGATACCTGGTTTCGAAACACCCCTCTGTGGAAGAAGACAGCTGAGTTTTTCGTTTCCACCTCAAAGCACAGCCAGGAGCTGTTCTGATTAGAGGGGCAGGGTTCTTTTTCAAAGTTTTGGCAGAATGTCTTTGGATACATTCGGTTCATCGGGTCTCTGAAGGCACAAGAGAGAAACGTAAAAAGCAGAATGTGCCCTGAGGTCCTTGCAGTCTCAGAGCTACGGAACTCAGCTCTTTGCAACCCTGGGCACTGGGCCTCGCAGGCCTGCCTAGCCCTGAGCCTCTGCTGTCCTCCCAGGCAGGAAGACGGGGGAGAGAGGAAGAGGAAGCAAGGGCAACATGTAGGGGTGACCTTTCCTAGCCCTGGCCCAGCTCTGGGCCTTCCACCTTTCCAGTATTTCTGCCCACCCTTCCCCCAGTCCTTTAGTAGTAAGTGAAGGAGATGGGCAGTGCTTGTGGCTCAAAGGAAGGAGCTCAGGAAAATTTATCTCTAAATATAAGTACTTGGTATAAAGAATATTTTACTTTAGAGGCTCTTAGAGATTAACAGGCCCTTCAAAGAGGCTTGCCCTCTAGTCCACATACATTTAAAAAAATGTACTTCCCTTCTCCACCTGTTATCTCAACGTATTGCTGCAAATAACATAAATTACAAGTCAATCTCTTCCCCTAGCTATTCTTCCCCCTCAGCAAAGCTTTATTGCCTCTAAACAGAATTACACATTCCCTCTCTCCCCACTACAAAGGCCTGTACAAAAACGTCTGAACTTCATTGGTACACTGTGTAACCGGCCTGTGGTTCTCCCCCTTCTGTTATGAGTCTGTCTTAATTCTCAATTGATCTTTCAGTGAACCTTCCAGGGGAAAGGACAAGTTTCTTCTCACCGCTAGTTAAGCAAAGAACAAAACTCTCTACCCCAAAATCGTTTGTAACATTTCAGCTCTGTTCATTCCCGCCCTTCCACCTGCCCATGTCACTAATGTGTTTTTAACTCTGAGCTGCCCCAGCTTCACACCCAGTTACGGCTCTACTCACTGCATGTACCTGGGCACCTGTCATCCGCCTGAAGCCTGTGGGGGATCCCCATTGTACAGATGAGGTGGCAGAGGCCCACAAGGGCTGGGTCACCTAACCGGGCTAGGCCAAGTCCGGCTGCTGCAACCTATAACCTGCTGGAGTGTACACTGGGGCCCGGCTCTCCTTTGTACAGAAGTTTACCTTACGAGCCTTTCTCCTGATCATGCTGGAGTGTATTTTTGAGATAGAGTCTCACTATGTCGCCCTTAGTAGAGTGCTGTAGCTCACACTAACCTCAAACTCTTGGGCTCAAGCAATTCTCTTGCCTCAGCCTCCCAGGTAGCTGGGACTACAGATGCCCACCACAATGCCCGGCTATTTTTGTTGCAGTTGTCATTGTTGGTTAGATGGCCTGGGCTGGGTTCTAACCTGCCAACTTCGGTGTATGTGGTTGGCGCCGTAACCACCTTGTTATGGGCACCGAGCCCTGATCATTCTGTTTTTCTCCCATTCCATTTTAGTGTCCCTGTTGCGTAAGGTGAGCCTGATCATAGAGGCGCTGCAAGTTTGGCGCCATCTGGAAAGATTTATCTTCTGTCTTCGGAAAGCTCTCCCCTCCTCCCCACCCTCTCCTAAGACTTGGTGTGGAAACCGTGTAAATATTACACAAAATCCAGCAACGTCTCAGAACAGAATTGTTAGTAAATCCCAATTGTTTCAATGATCATTTAGTACAGCTGTCCCTGGTGACAGAGCTCAGGAATGGAGGGAAATACCTGGGGGAGCGACTCCAGCCTGGCCAGGGCTTCCCGTGAGGCTGGGGAGGAAGAACAGGGCCAGGGAGAGGCAGGCCAGGACAGCACTGAGGGCGCCCACAGATGAGGCAAAAAACCCTCGATGGAGTGGGTGCTGCAGGAGAGGCAGAGAGGGCGAGCCCAGGCTGGGACCGGGTTGGAGAGGTCAGGAGGGGTACAGCAGGGGCCACCAGATAATCAGGGGCTGCAAGCTTCCCAGGGCAGAGGTACCTGATCCGTGGGTTCATGCTGCAGCCTCCTCAGCAGGACTGTCCCTTCCTTGCTCTTTGTCTTCTGTGGTGGGGCTCCGTTGTCGGCTTCTGGGGCCTTGACCTCCCAGGGAACTGGTAGTGGTGGCTCCACCCTCTTCCTGCTGAGGGGCGGAGTGGGAGGGCCCTGGGCTGTTTTCATTTCTTCTGTTTGGGATCCTTTTCCCTTTCATTTCGCTTTGGCCGAGGGTCCTGCTGAGAGAGACTGTGGTGGAAATAGGTGGAGTCAGGTAGGCTAGGACCAACATGACCCAGCTGGTCTGATCCCTTTAGGTCCTTTGTGACCTTTCACTCCTGTCTTGAGTTATTATTGTTTTGTAAATTTAGCTCCAAGCCCAAAGATGCCTATCTTTTTTTTTTTTTTTTTTTTTTGTGAGACAGAAGAGCCTCAAGCTATCCCCCTGGGTAGAGTGCCATGGCATCTCAGCTCACAGCAACCTCCAACTCCTGGGCTCAAGCAAGTTTCCTGCCTCCGCCTCCCAAGTAGCTGGGACCACAGGCGCCCACCACAATGCCCGGCTATTTTTTGGTTGCAGCTGTTATTGTTGTTTGGCAGGCCCGGGCTGGGGATTTGAACCCGTCACCTTAGGTGTATGTGGCTGGCACCTTAGCCACTTGAGCCACAGGCACTGAGCCCAAAGATGCCTATCTTGAATAGTTTTGGTGGATTTAGGAAACTAACTTTTGAATTGGAATGTTATACTAGGTCACTGGGTTCTGCTGATCAATATTTAAAACACGGGTTACTGTGGTCTTTGCCGTGAGCTTTTACATACAAAACTGTGATTTTGGAAATGACAGAACGGAACAGTCTGGGAGAGGCTATTCTCGCTGTTCTCCCAAATCGCTGCCCTTTTGACAAAGTGTGGTGGCCCTAACCCCATCTCTACATATTGGCTGACAGTGACAGGTGGGCTGGACCCTCAACCCCACCCCAGGGAGCCACCCAGGGAAAGGGGAGTGATTGCATTCAGATCCCAGGAGCTGAGCCTGGCTCAGGGCTGAGAGAAGAGGGCAGTCACCGACTGAGCTGGTGGACGGGGCAGGGGCAGATCTCTTCCCCCACTCCATTGAGCCCGAATCTGCGCCCAAGCATTGTGCTTCACCTGCTAGTTGGGTGAGGGGAGGTTCTGAGATTTTAGGGGGATGGAAAGGAGGACTCTGGATCCTGTCCCCTTTAATCTCTTGGCATGGCAAAAGTGAAGGGACAGTTGTGTCTTGAGCTCCCCATTGTGTGTTTGTCCCCTTGATACCAGAATTTTGCTCTTCAGTAGGTCCTTGGTCTTGGGAATTCGAAGAATGAATCCACGGAGCACAGATCAGTGGTAAGACAGGACTTTTATTATAAGTTAGAAAAGGGCTCGGTGCCTGTGGCTCAAGTGACTAAGGCGCCAGCCACAGACACCTAAGGTGGTGGGTTCGAATCCAGCCCGGGCCCACCAAAACAACAATAACGGCTGCAACCAAAAAATAGCCAGGCGTTGTGGCGGGTGCCTGTGGTCCCAGCTACTTGGGAGGCTGAGGCAGGAGAATCGATTGAGCCCAGGAGTTGAAGGTTGCTGTGAACTTTGATGCCACAGCACGCTACCCAGGGGGACAGCTTGAGGCTCTGTCTCAAAAAAAAAAAAAAGGAACATAGAAAAAGTAAAAAGCACCAGAGCTTCTGGAAAGGGAAAAAAACTGAAGAACTCTCCCGGGAGTCTCCAGGTGGGACTCTTTGTCTAGGGAAATTAGGTCTAGAGATTACACCTGGCTAGCAGTTGGTAGGTGGAAATGGGTGCATTAACAAACAAACGAATGAATGTAGTTATCACGTCCTTTACAGTCTTTGTCCCTGAGAAGGGATTAGGGTGTGTGGTCTTATCAAAGTTGGAGCCACTCAAAAAAAACCAGCACAGGAAGGCAGTCTGCTTGTGCCTGGAAATGGGGGTCTGACCTCTGAGCTCTGGGCCTAGGGAATGGGGGACTCCCTGTCTAGCCCTGAGTGGTGGAATCCTGTATCACCCTTGCATAAGTCCCCTTGATACAGGGTTCCCCTATTCAGGGCTGGACAGGGACCCCCATGTTCTGGGCCTAAACAGTCCTTTTTTTTTTCCTAATGCATTCTCTGGATGCAAGCAGGATTTCAATCAGGTTGCCACCCCTAGAGAGGAAAGTGTACACCCTGCGGCTTTGCCTAGAGGAACTGTGAGGATCCCCCATTCGCTAATACATTTGTTCACTAATCAACTTGGAGGAGACATTTTTTTTGTCTGCCTGCTACTGGCCAAGTGTGACATACCATCCCTGGGAATTCCTCCTCCTCCAGGCTTTGTTACTCTTCTCTCCAAGTCCTCCTCTGTAAAATAAACTTTGTCCTGTGGTCAATTGGCATGGTCTGGAGTTGCATTCTTAAATCTTCAGACCAAGGACTGAAGGAGAAAAATACCGGTTGAGAGGTTTAGGGATAGAGTTCTTCCGGAGTCCCCAAGAAGGAGAGGAGGCCAGTCCAGGGATGAAGCATAGGCTTTATTTTATTTATTTGAGACAGAGCCTCAAGCTGTCGCCCTGGGCAGAGTGATGTGGCATCACAGCTCACAGCAACCTCCAACTCCTGAGCTCAAGCAAGTCTCCTGTCTCCGCATCCCAAGTAGCTGGGACCACAGGCGCCCACCACAACGCCCGGCTGTTTTTTTGGTTGCAGCCATCGTTGTTTGGCGGGCTCAGGTTGGATTCGAACCCGCCAGCTCACGTATATGTGGCTGGCTCCTTAGCCGCTTGAGCCACAAGCGCCGAGCCAGCATAGGCTTTATTTTAAAGGAGCAGAATGGCTTGGCACTTGTAGCTCAGCGGCTAGGGCGCTAGCCATGTACACCAGAGCTGGTGGGTTCAAATCCAGCCTGGATCTGCCAAACAATGACAACTATAACCAAAAAACAGCCAGGCATTGTGGCAGGTGCCTGTAGTCCCAGCTACTTGGGAGGCTGAGGCAAGAGAATCGCTTAAGCCCAAGTTTGAGGTTGCTGTGAGCTGTGACACCACTACACTCTACCCAGGGCGACAGCTTGAGACTCTGTCTCAAATCAATAAATAAAGGAGCAGAATGGAGTTTGACCAGAAGTCAGCTCAGCTCACGCAGTTTCTTTCTTTTTTTTTTTTTTGAGACAGAGCCTCAAGCTGTCCCCCTGGGTAGAGTGCCGTGGCATTACAGCTCACAGCAACCTCCAACTCCTGGGCTCAAGCGAGTCTCCTGCCTCCGCCTCCCAAGTAGCTGGGACTACAGGCGCCCGCCACAACGTCCCGCTATTTTTTGGTTGCAGCCGTCATTGTTGTTTGGTGGGTCTGGGCTGGGGATTCGAACCCGCCACCTTAGATGTAGGTGGCTGGCGCCTTAGCCGGTTGAGCTATAGGCACCGAGCCAGCTCACACAGTTTCAAGTGACTTTTATTAGTGTTGGAATGTGGGAGGGGGTGATGAGAGGTGAGGGAAGTCATCTTTCCTAGCAAGGCAAAAATACCGTGTCAGAGACGGATTTTACTGTCTGCCACAAAGGTGTTAATCTTGCACAGGCCTTATCTCTAGAGCCAGCCAGGATCAGGGTCAGAGGTCCTGACATTTCCCAAGAACACTGGCCCCAGAGCATTTCAGGAGGGTGGGGAGGGGGTTGCTGTGACCATGCCATTTGGTTTCTGGCCTGCTTGCTTTCTGTACTTGTCTCCTAAATAGCTGTACTTTTGTCAGAGTTCTGAGGATTTCTTCCCCACCCTGGTAATACCCTCATCTAACCTTGTAGTTTCCAAGGGGTGTGGGAGAGGACAGACACCTCAGGGGCTAGAGCTGAAAGCACAAGTAGTGAAAATAAAATGGAGTCTGTCAGGCTAGGGTAGACATGACATAGCTGGTGGTCTCCTTCTTTCTTTCTTTCTTTTTTTTTTTTTTTTTGAGACAGGGCCGGAAGCAGCCCCCTGGGTAGAGTGCTCTAGCATCACAGCTCACAGCCACCTCAAACTCCTGGGTTTAAGCAATTCTCTTGCCTTGGCCTCCCTAGTGGCTGGGACCACAGGTGCCCACCACAACGCCCAGCTATTTTTTGGTCGTAGTTGTCATTGTTGTTTGGAAGGCCTGGGCTGGATTCGAACCCGTCAGCTCTGGTATATGTGGCTGGCGCCCTGGCCATTTGAGCCACGGTTTCCTATTCTTACTGTTTTGTAAATTTAGCTCCCACTCTAAAGATGCCCATTTTGAATAGTTTAGGAACTAACTTTTGAGTTGAAAATGTTATAATAGATTGCCATCTAGTTGTGCTGATTATTTTTTTTTTTTTTTTTGAGACAGAGCCTCA